GAGTCTAATAGCCGTTGAAATGAATAATTTGTCATGAGGGATGGAAGAGAGCATTTTTTTCCTCTTAAAAAAAGGAAGGCTTTTTTTTTTTTTTTTTTAATTTTGAGTGGCCAAAAAAATAGCTAACATGTCCACCATAAAGTCTTCACAGCAAAAGAATCTGTCTTCTCTTTCATTTAATTCAGTGATTTCCACTTGGTGTCAAAGCTTGTTGAACTAAACCCAAGACAACAAGTGAGCTAAGACTTGAAGGTGATTAGGAGCTCATGAAATAAAACTGGAGAGAACACTTAATAGCATATTTAATTGATAAATATATGAACACATGGTTGAATATATGAATACATAATGTATATGAAATAAAAGTCTTTGGAGAAAAATAATTGTTTATCAAAAATGCAGGGTTTACATGGGGAGGTAATGGCAGGAGATTAGAGATGTAGATAGGGAAGAATCACAGAGTGCCTGCATCAAAGGGCAGTATTTATTAGCCCCTAACGTGTCCCAGGTGCTCTGTTCAATGCTAAGGGTATATCCACAGACAAAGCTGGTGTGCCTCTCCTATCAGGAGCCTTTGTTTATTTCTCATATCACTTTATCCTGTGAGGAACCATCAAGGAGTTTTTAAGTAGACCATGGCATGCCCATTTTCAAGTTTTAAGAAGACCACTCAAGTGTAATAGGTGGATAACAGGATAGTGGGATGATACTGGGGGTAGGGAGACAGGTAAGAGACTGGTAACTGGATGAGAGACCAAGAGGGCTGTACCCAGGCATCAGCAGTGGTAATGGAAAGGGTAGTTTCTAGAACAAACTCACTTTGAGATCTAGAGCTGTCACTGTTCTAAGCTCTCTTTGTCCCACAAGCCTGATACCACTTTAACTTTTCAGATAAACAGAACATAACTCAGTTGGGTAGCCATGCCCTTCCTGTGCCCTTATTCTAAATGACGTTGCCCCTCTGCTTTCACTCAGAGCCCTCCTTTCCAGTTTAAGGTGCAGCTCAAGACCATCTACTGCTGAAGCCCTGAGGAGCCTCTGAATGCCCTTCCTCTCTACTGTTGCACTTTGATGGATAACCCATCTGAATAGGTCAGAAAGCAGGGGTTATTATTTTATGTCACTGTCACATTTCCCTGCAGTTGACTATAAGCTACCTAAAGGTGTATTGCTCTTCCTAGCACCCTTAGAATTTAGAGCAAGTCCAGAACAGAGTTCCCAGTACCTCTTCCTGATAATATCAGTCCCTGATTTTGTGGAACACACCAGAGGGACATTCCCAGCTGATAACATTCATCTCCAGGCTCTTACCCAGCAATGTTAATGTCCCCTACTCATTTTTCTTGAGTCAGTCTTTCTACTTCTAAACCTTGAGCCATCTCCTCATTTCCCATTGAATCTGTACCTCTGTTCCCATCATACTGACCCAGAAACAATCCTTACTGAGGTATGATGGTTAACTTTGACTCATGCTGATCCTCTTTCCCAAAGACATCCTTGCTCATCCTTTCTGGTGGTCTAAAACTAAGGACATCCTTCAAATCCAAGAAACCTGCTCAGCCTCTTACAATTCCAGTCCTCAAAGATTCCCTATGGCTAAACTGTCATAGAACTTGCAGTGTGTCCCTCAGTAGGCAGTTATTCCAAGACTTGGGTTTGCCATTGTGTTTCTTCACCTCCCAACTGGCTTGTGAGCTACTCAAGGGTCACCATTCTCCAAGGGCATCTGGTGCACGTCCATATATACAGGGGTCATGAATGTATTTTATAGGGTTGACATAACACAAATCTACTTTGATGACTTCAATCTTATCAGAAAATTTTATTGTCTATCCCCCAATTTTCAGTGGTAAGCAGTGCTGAGAAAGAAGTATCTCTTTGGAGTGGTAAGCTTAAAACTTCAGTGAAATTTCTAGTGTCTTTTCGATGGCATTGCTGCTGATTCTGAGTCACTATTCATTTGTGGTGACTCTAAGCCTCACATTATGATTCACATTCTAAAAATGGGGTGAGGTTTTTACTGAGAAACTAATCCTAGTCTGAATATAGCCTCACAATTATTGGGTTTCTCTGTGGATTTTGAGCTGCAAGCATAGCCCTTCTCAAGGTTTAATGTCTTAGGGTTTATTATACATTCCATGGTAAATGCCCAGAATCCACTTCATGGGATTATGCGCGGGATCCTGTAATAAAAGTCCTTCTTTCGACTACATATTATTTATAACTGCCCCATGTCTGACCTGTGACAACAAGTTAAGTAAGGGTAGATAGATCTTTGGGGCTCTTTTTCATTCATACCTTCTGTGATGTTCCCCAACCAGAATGTGTCTATAGCAATAAAGAAGAAGTTTCAGAATTGGCCTTCTGGGCCCTATAACTAAGCACTTGACTCCACTTGACATCTAGGGGAACTGCTTTTACAGTAACTGCACAGGGAAACCATTAAATGTGTAAGTGACAGAAATGAGGTGGTTTCCTTACACCTGCATTCTAGTCCTAAGACTTCCACTAAGGAGTTGTGCAGCCTTGGGTGATACGTTTAACAACAGCAGTGATAGTTATGGCTAACATTTACAAAGGGTTTGGAATAGGGCCTGGTGCAGAGTCTGCCCTCTGTAAGGACACATGCTGTTATTATCATTGTCATTGTTACAGAGGGCTTATTATACCCAGTAGCAAGTACTTGATATACATGATCTCACTTAATATTTAGAATTATGAAGTGAGTTTTATTATTCTTACTGTATAGGGGTGAACTGAAGCTTAAAGAGGTTGATTTATGAATTCAAGACTATGCAGGTCTCAAATCCAGACAGGCTCTCTTCCTATCCCATGTTCTCACAATCTCTGTGGTTATACCTAATTTCCTTGAACCTCAGTTTTTTCATCAGTAAAGCTTAGGAGCTGCACTATTGATCTTTAAGACCCCCAGATTTTAAAATTCCTAGGTATTTTCCCAGTACCTTTACCTTTTGCTTCTTTCTCCCTATCCCCTCCCCCACCTCACTCATCCATGGATTTTGCTATGTTCATCATCACGGGATCAGCAGGATGTTTTCCCCACTGAGTTATGACGCTGCATGTGTCAGCACATGGGCTTGTTTTGTGGCTTTCTTTTAGAGAGGGTGGGTGGGAGATGTGGTTTACATGCTGCTGCTGTTGTGGGGAGAGGAATCTGACTCTTCATATTTGCTGTCTTGTCTTGGCCTATATCCATAACCACATTGAGTGACACTAATGTTTTACAGGGCTCAAAAAAAAAACCTTTATAGGCAGAAGCTCATGGGTATCAGCTCTTTTGAGTGTGGGCTCTGCATTGCTCTCTGGTAAGATCTGGTTTAGGAGATGTGCACTCCCAAGGTAGTTTGAATATGTCCCGTCCTGTGACTGTTAAGGATCTCACAAAAGGAGTTGGACTGGAGATTTCTGGGTGTTCCATCCTCTGTATACCTTGGGTATTCTGGCGGATTTCCACATAAGGAGTTTCCCAGGCTATTCATTGTTACTGGTGTTTGTATTTTAGTGGGTGATAGTCTCTATACATTCTGTAGTACTTTTTTTTGTGGCTTATAACCCAAAGGTTCAAGTGTTTTGGCATCCAAAGACCAACCTGCATTAAAGGGTTATGCCCATCCCCTCATAGCTTGATGCTTATTGTGACTCCTACTTGATCATTCTTTATGTAGTATTTTATTATGGAGAAAAAGAGTTACTTAATCATTCTCCTGAGGTTCATGAATTCTTCCACTTAGAAGAAGCATCTTAGGAATCTTAGGACATCAAATAAGGGTTTGAGAACACTAAAAATGTTGAATAAATAACTTAATTTCTCTGACCAGATTTCTTCTTCTGTAAAAGAATTATAGTACCACCTGTCCTACTCAGCTGAAATGGCTATTAAATCAAATTAAGGATGGCCTGAAAATGTGTTTCTGAAAGTTATAAATTTTATAGAAAATTAATTGTTTTAGGATGTGTAAAACAAAACTGTGTTAATCATAAAAGGCAAAAGCTATTAAATGTTTCTATTTTGATTTTGCCCAGTGTAGGTTACTTGTTGAAGATAGTAATGTAAGATTTCCTCAGCTTGTTATTGTATGCCAGTGGGAAGGTTATGAGTTAAGTCTTTCTAGAAACTATCTGAATATTGTGAGTGTTCAGTTAGTAAGAACTGATTTTGCTCAATATAGTAGCTCTTTTGTGGAAGCACATTAATTTTGCATTAATTCCTATTTTATTAATTCATCATTAGATCAAGAGCTAGGTTCAAGTTGTTAAAAGACATTAACAGCATAAACAAAATTATAAGCCAATTAACTGTGCTTCTGTATACGTAGAACATAATTGCAGTGTAAATAAAGACTTGGCATTTATATGCTAATTCAAATTGGCCTAGCTTGAAACTGTGTTTCTTTAACTCATATTTTTCGCTAAAGCAAATATTCCCTATCCTCTTACTCTAAATGAATGAGATAATTCCATTTCTATTTTTCTTGATTGCTAAACCATACTTGGAGGTACCATCTGGAGATTGTTGGGTTTCTGCCAAAGATTTAAATCAGGCTTGCAAAAAGTTACCTGCCTAAGGCAAGAAACTGCACTGATTTAATAGAAAAGAACATGCTTTTATTTTACCATCTGGTAAAATAAAGTGAAAACACTTTAAAAAGTTTTAATATTTGCTTTACCATGATAGCACTATATTATAGATAATATTTCTGAAATATAAGGATTGCGGAAATTAGGGACCCTAGTTACCAAAATTTGATCAGTCAGATGATCAGAAGTCTGATATGACGGTTTATCAAGAGATCTTGATGCTAATGGCAGATTTTTCATCATAATAAAGGCAAGACAGGAGTAGAGAAAAATATGGCAAGTTATAAACTATCTCAGAATTTCTCATGGGCAGGGCTGAAAGTCCTAGGCCTGTGCGGATTTGGTAAAATGTGATGATTATCCTTTATAATTTGCTTTTTGTTTGTTTGTTTGTTTTACAGATATCTGCTTAGCAGATTAATCAAAGGCAAGAAAGGCTAATCTATGTTCTGAGTACTTCCCCCAGCAAGACCCCTGTTACAGACTGTAGGCCAAGTTGACCGTGCTGCCATATACCCCTCCACCCAGATATTATTCTAGGGTCCACCAGTGTGAAGATGACCAGTGCCTTCCTAGCATGACGACCTTGGACCACGTAATTGCTACGCATCAGTCAGAGTGGGTCTCCTTCAATGAAGAGCCACTTTTTTCTGTCCCTTCTGAGGGTAAGGAGTGCTTTCATTTCCTAATGTGACAAGATTGGTGAAGAACCATGCCTGCTTGTTATGTCTTCTATTTGGTCATTCTTTGAAAAGGATCTTAACAACGAAGAAAGTCTACTTTAGTCACCTTCCCAAGATGTGTGAATTTTTAAACTTAACATACATAAAGTGCTTAGAGTAGTGCCTGGCACATAGAAAGTCTAGAGATGCATCTTAGTAACCTTAGGGCCCTAGAAAAGAGCCTGGAAATACCAAAGGTATTGGTTCTTAAGGAACATAAACTTTATCTTTACAAAGTACTTCACTATCAGCCTTTTTGGCGCTTACTCCCACCAGCAGTTTGGGTTTTCTGAATTTTTAAAGTGAAGCTGTTAAAAGTGACTGGCTCTAGAGCCATATTGCTTGAGTTCAAATCCTGGCTTCATCATAGATAAGTGGTATGCCCTTAGGAAATTTATTTTTTTAACCTCTCTGTTCAGTTTCATTATCTGATTAAGAGGGTAATCGTGATATCTACTTGGGAAGGTTGAATGAGAATCAAACAAATTAACATACATAAAGTGCTTAGAGTAGTGCCTGGCACATAGAAAGAACTCAGCATGGCCATCTCTGGTCACGATAAAGGTGATTATAGTGTCTTTTAGGGAACTAATGCTCAGGGATGAAGGCCAAGGCAGGATCCAGGGAATATTAATAGAGCCATGCCAGTTGGTCCTGTACCACAGCTGCCATTGCCAGCTGAAATCACCGCATCATCCGACCTTCATTTATAACACCTGGAAAAATGAGTCTACAGTGCCACCCAAGGTGATATCCACATGGCTACTGAGTCCTTGAAATATGGCGAATCTGAATTGAAGTGTTCTGAAGGTAAAAAGTACATAGAGCTTGCATTTTGAACACCTAATTTTAAAAAAAGTGAAACATCTCATCAACAGTTTTTATATTGATTACATGGTGAAATTATATATTTACAATATACTGGGTTGAAAAGCATATTATTAAAAATGGTTTCTTGGGCCAGGCATGGTGGCATATGCCTATAATTCCAGTGGCTTGGGAGGCTGAGGCAGGAGGATTAATAGTTCAAAGCCAGCCTCAGCAACAGTAAGGTGCTAAGCAACTCATTGAGACCCTATTTTTAAATAAAATACAAAATAGGGGGTGGGAATGTGGCTCAGTGGTTGAGTGCCTCTGAATTCAATTCCTGGTACCCCACCACCTCAAAAAAAAAAAAAAAAAAGTTTCTTGGTCTAGGGATTTAGCTTAGTGGTAAAGATGTGCTTTGCATGAAAAAGACATTGGGTTCAATGGCTCATTTTTATTACTATGGCTCACCTCTTATTACTATTAGGTAGTTCTACTCTAAAGACTTTGGTTATATGCAGGTTGCCAATTTATTTGGCTAATGATATGAAAAAGGATTTTCATGTTAATTCTATGCTTTTTAAAAATTTTCATGTAAGTAGCTGGGTATGTGGTGCATACCTGTAATTCTAGTGACCCAAGATGCTGAGGCAATAAGATCGCAGGTTTGAGGCCAGAGTCAGCAAGTTAAAAGGCCCTAAGCAACTTAGTAAGACCCTGTCTTAAAATTTAAAAGTTTCAAAAAGGTCTGGGGATGTAGCTCTGTGGTAAAACACACCTGGGATCAATCTCCATTACAAAAAAAAAAAAAAAAATTCGTGTAGTAAAATTGGTGGGTTTTGGCATAAATCTGATGAATTTTCGCACATATGTAAATATATCCACCATCATATGCAGTATATGGTTCTTTTATTTTCAAAACAAAACAAAAATGCAAACATTCCAAGTGTATTACACATTCCAGGACCAATGAAGTGATACAAAGCTACAGGAAGAGCCTTTGTATCATATTCACATAGTCATTAGTGCAGAGTTTGCACCTGTTGCATGAAGATATGCATAGCTTGGACTACACAGTTTGAAATTTGTATTTAAATATTTTTGGTCTGAAGAAAAGTACTACTGTTCAGACACAGTCTCCAGAAGCTTCTGTTGCCTTTCATTTGTTCCATTTGACTTAGTTATATTTCTTATTTGACTTCTCTAAGTATTTTAATTTGTAATCCTCAAGCCCTGGAGTACATACTGAGATAAAAATAGTGAATAAGACTCCGCTTCTTAACCTGTATAGAAACTGACTGGGGACATGCTAATATAGTTTTTACAATTATTGGAGAAACAGTTATTTAGCATAGGGATGGATCAGAATGGCTGTTTCATCTTCCTACCCACTATAATGGTAAGTCCTATGGTCATCCTTTGCCCATCCTTAGTGTTTGCCTCTGTAAGACAGTTCTGATGACTGTACTTCCTCATCTGGCAGTATCTGGTATCTCTTTCAGGGGGCACTGAAGAACACCTCCCAGTACTGTCATCTTCTTCAGACCAGTCTGAGACTTCCTCTGGGGAGAACCATGTGGTGGATGGAGCCTCCCAGGACCTTTCCCACTCAGAGCAGGATGATTCCTCTGAAAAGATGGGTCTCATCTCTGAAGTGGCCTCTCCTCCCGAGAGCCCCGAGCAGCCCTCACTTGACCTGGCCTCAGCCATCAGCAACTGGGTTCAATTTGAAGATGACACACCCTGGGCCAGCACCTCACCATCTCCTAAAGAAACAGGTGGGGCAGGCAGGAAGAAAAGGTCTGCCTTGGTATGTGCTCAGTAGGATGCTTTTCTGTGGGAAGTATTTAGGGCTGCCAGGATTCTATTTTATTTGCTCCAGCATAGGAGAAAGCAGACAGAGATCTCATCTGGTTTAATTATATAGTGTTTTTTCCCCAATATTTTCCCAGTTTTAATGGACATAATGTCTTTATTTTATTTATTTATTTTCATGTGATGCTGAGGATCAAACCTAGTGCCCCACATGTGCAAGGCAGGGGCTCTACCACTGAGCTACAGCCCCATACACACAAAAGAATTTACATGTTCTGGGCATTTTCAGCCTTTTACCCTTGTCCTTGGCTGTTGACTTGTCTTTAGAAGAATACATGTATTTTTAAAACTATTAGGAATTGGAATTATTTACGTATCTAAATTGTTATTTCCTTATGCATACAAATGAATGTCTCTCAAAGAGTAGATCACTAACCATGTCTTGTAGAGTCCCCAGTGAGACTAGTTGAACATGGAGATTCTCATTTCTCAGACTACTGAATGGATTCCAAATTTTCAGGAGTGAAGATGGTTGTAACTGGTAAAGCACTGATTTTGTGGCATTTAAATGGCTAGAAGCTGTGCTGAGAAACTCAGAGAAGCCAGTTGTTAGTTCCCTTTCTGGCAGCCTGGCTATTTATTGTTGTGTCATGTACTGAAACATCAAAGGTGATTGGATAACTTTTGAGTCTATATTAGTTTCTACTTGCTGCTATAATAATGTATCACAAACATAGTAACTTAAACAACATGAGACTATATGATTTTACAATTCTGTGTCCTGGGTGTCCTGGGGTGTTCCTTTCTGAAGCTCTAAGGGCAAGACTGCATTCCTTTCTGAAGCTCTAAGGGCAAGTCTATAACTTGGCCCTTTACAGCTTCCAAAGGCTGCCTACATTTTTTGACATGTGACCACCCTCTTTGTCTCCAAATCCAGGCATGTAGCATCTCTCTGTCTTACAAAATGACATCTTTTTTAAAAAATATTTTTTAGTTGTTGATGTACCTTTATTTTTTACTTATTTATATGTGGTGCCGAGGATCGAACCTAGTGCCTCACATATGCTAGGCAAGCACTCTGCCACTGAGCCACAACCCCAGCTCACAAAATGACATCTTTTTTGCCTCTCTCTTCCATTCTGAAGGACCCTCTGAAAAGATGGGTCTCATCTCTGAAGTGGCCTCTCCTCCCGAGAGCCCCGAGCAGCCCTCACTTGACCTGGCCTCAGCCATCAGCAACTGGGTTCAATTTGAAGACGACACACCCTGGGCCAGCACCTCACCATCTCCTAAAGAAACAGGTGGGGCAGGCAGGAAGAAAAGTTCTATCTTGGTATTCTTTGTCCCACAAGAATAATTTCCTCATTTTTCTGTTTGTAAGGCAATGTTTTCTGGTTTAACTTTATACAAATTATTCGTTTTTCAAATATATTTTCAACACCAATAAAATGATTTTTAAGAAGATATAAAACATGGTTCAACCATATAATAAACATTTCAATTTTTACATAATAATTTGCACCTTTATGTATACTTTTCATATGTAAGTATGAGCTTTTCAGTGAATTATTGAGCTTCTCAAAGGAGCATGGATGATGTGACAGGTCCAACCGGCTTCCACTCTGGCTGGGGATGGTGGAAAAGACCCTTTTTGAATACCTAACATTGCTAAGGCACTGATCTAAGCATTTATACATGCAGTGGAAAGTTATTGAACTCTGGTACTATGGTTCGAATGTTTTGTCTCTCTAAATTTGTTGAAATCAAATCCCCAATATGTTGATATTAAAAGGAGGGAAGACTTTGGGAGGTGACTAGGTCACGAGGATGGAATCCTTGTGATTGGGAGTAGTGCCTTTATAAAAGATACTTGAAGGAGCTGTCCCCACATTTGACAACATAGTGTTTGTCCTTTGTGCTATGTGAGGGCACAGCTAAAATTAAGGAATGGGTCCTCACCAGACCCTGAATCTGTTAGTGCCTTGATCTCAGACTTAACAGTTTCTAGAATGGTGAGCAGTAAATTTCTATTGTTCATAAATTTCCCAGTCTAAGGCATTTTGTTATGGCAGCAGAAACAGACTAAGAAAATAGTAATGAATAAGTACAGAAGTATATATTTTTTAATTTTTAACAGGATACTTTTTTTCAGTACTGGAGATTAAACCTGAGAGCTTTGCATAAGCTAGGCAAGTGCCCTACCACTGAGCAACATCCCAGATCTTTTATTTTGTTACTGTTATTTTGAGACAGAGCCTCACTGAGTTGCCCAGGCTGAACTTAAACTCACAGTCCTTCTGCCTTGGCTTCCCAAGTAGCTAGGATTGCAGGCATGTGCCACCATGCCCAGCTAATAAGATATATTTATTGAATACTTACTCTCTTAGGCACCATGATAAATACTTTAACTCTGTCATCTCATATACTCTTTATAGTAATCATATGAAAAATAGAGCAAAAAATAGGTAATTCATTGTATGAATTACCCCTATACAGTTTTCCAGTACCTTAGCAATGGTCAATCAGATGGCTTTCAATGTTTTTTGTGGGGGAGATGGGGTGCTAGAAATGGAATCCAGGGACACATACATGCTATGCAAGTGCTCTACCACTGAGCCACACCCCCAGTCCCAGCTTTTATGAATTATATTCATAATATGAATTATATACATATTTGTATGAGGAGACTGAAATAGGTAGTGGTTTGGGAATGTGCTCAACGTTGTGCGCTAGGAAGCAGCAGAAGAGAGCTCCATTAACTGACCCCAGAATCTTGGAGCAGCATAGGGTGTGCTGTGTAATTTGTGCCTTTCTCTTCCTTTTGTTGCTGCTCTAGAGCCTTCTGCTCCTTTCTTACAGGGGAGGTGAGGCCAGGCATAGGAGGCGAAAGGTAGGTGGGATTGTGTTTCTCCACTTGCCCTAAAATAGCCATACCTTTAGGTCACTGATTATATTCATAGCATTCAGATTTTTTACATCTTTTTCATATCTTACCTTTAGCCTCATCAAAGATTTTGTGGTTGCTCAAAACTGTTTATATATCAGATGGATCAGTTTGCTTCTCTTCCCCATTTGTTATTGTAAAACTAATTTTGGGGTAAGTCTTAATTATGTTGCCCCCGTCTAAGGATTCTATCCTATTTACAATGGTTTTAATGTATTGGTAAAACTTTATTCTTTAAGGCTACAGTTGCCTATTGACCCCAGGGACTTGCCAAGGGGTCTGTATGGTCAAAATTATTTTCATAGTAATTCTAAGATGTTATTTGCCCTTTTTACTGCATTGGCATTTGCATTGATGGTACAGAAGTAATGATGAGTTAAATTTCTGGCCTTTATGTACTCATAATAAAGAAAACCCTTCAATTTCACTTAACAGTATACTTGATGAAGCAGTACAAAGTATTAATTTTATTGAATCTTGATTCTTCAGTATATCTTTTTTAATATCCTTTGTAATATATTGGGAAATAAACAAAACACTTTTGCTCCATAACAAAATGTAGTGGTTATTTGAAGGGTGCTTATCTTGTAAAAATTGGAGTATAAATTGTTTTTTAAAAATTTAATCATTTAAAAATGAGAATTATTTAAAATTATTTTTAAAAATTAAAACAATGCAAAAATATACTCAATGAAAACAATATCCATATTTTAAAGACAAGATCCAGTTAATACTTGCATGACTCTGATACACTAATCCTGGTTCATTCCAGTAAAACTTTATTTATAAAAATAGGTGATTAACCATTTGACTATAGTTTTCTGCTTTGATTTTTTTGAAATTATTACATTAGAGTATCAGTTTATAACTGAGTTTTTTGCATCCCCTTAAATTTTGTACCCAAGGCAAGTGTATCACTTGTTTTACCCTAATCCCAGCCCTGAAGTGTTCTAAAGATATGAGATTTATTAGTATTGCTAGAAAAAAAAAATCAAGAAATGACAACTTTCAAATGCATGAAAGCATAATTTTGGCTTGAAAATTGCTCAGACATTAATATCCCATCTTTTTCATGTATGAAAAGTTCACTCAACCTTGCCTTAGGAGGAGCCTGTAGGATGATTTGCCAGCAGATTTGATTCTTGATGAGTAGGCAAACAGCATGAATAAGCTTGGTGTAGGACTAGCCCTGCAAGCAGACACACACACACACACACACACACACACACACACTTTTTCTTACACACGCAGTGCTTCTAACCTGTAAGTCTAAGAACCACAGAGGATTCTGCAACAGAAGAGTAGTTTTTTAAAAAAAAAAAAAAAAAGAGGAAATAAATTAAGAGTCAAATCCTAAATCTCCTGCTAGTATCCAGTTTGACTCATTAGTGAACCTACTAAATAAAAGGCTGCAAAATACATTCCTTTTACTCAAACTCCCTAAGTTTCCTCCCTTAGGGTATGTTTAACAATAAGGAAGAGTGGTTGGTAGAACTGAAACCAAGTGATAAGCAGAAGAAGCTAGGCCTTTAGGCCACTCAGCATGGATAATGTGACATTGCTCAAGTTAGACAATTGTTCTATTCTGAAGGTTGTTAGGCAACTCAGACTTTAATTTGAATCTGAAACATCGGGATACATGTGCTGTGTCAATAATACCACATATATAACTATAGTCATTACACAGAAATAACCCTGATGTGCAGCAAATATCCTCTTGCTGATAGACATCTTGAGACTTCTTGCACACACTGCTATATGCCCTGTTCATTGGCTGTGTTTAATTTTGAGATATGATAGGCTGAATAACAGTACCAAAAGACATTAGGTCCTAGTTCCTGGAACCTAAAAATCTTATTTGGAAAAAGGGTCTTTGCAGATGTGATTAAGGATTCTGAGATGGGGAGATGATCCTGGGTTATCTGTGGGGTTGCTAAATACAAATATGTGCATTTTTATAAAAGAGTGCCAGAGGGAGCTTTTGCCCACACAGAGAAGACAATGTGAAGGTAGAACTTAAAGATTTGAAGATGTTGGTCTTAAAGATTAGAGTGATAAAGCCATAGTCAAGGAATACCAGGAGCTATCAGAAACTGGAAGAGGCAAGGAACAAATTTTCCCCTGAGCCTCTGGAGGGAATATGGATCTGCTGACATTTTGATTTTGGCAAAGGGGTTCTGATTTCAGACTTCTGGCCTTCAGAACCATGAGAAAATAAATTAGTTGTTGTAAGTTATCAAGGAAACTAATGCACTGTTTCTAAATTTTTTGTTGTTGTTGCTTTGGTGTGTGTGTGTGTGTGTGTGTGTGTGTGTTGGGGTTTGAACTCAGGAGTGCTTTACCATCCTCTGTCCTTTTTATTTCTTTATTTTGAGATAGGGTCTCACCAAGTTGCTGAGGCTGCAATCTTCCTGCCTTGGCATCCTGAATTGCTGGGATTACAGGCACAGGAACCCAACCTCTAGATTATTATTCTTTTTTTTTTTCCAATTCTAAATTCTTAAAGTGGAACCATTTGCACAAGGCTGAAAATAAGTCAGTGTGGGCCAGAGGGCATCTCTAATAGCACGGCCATTTGTTAAGTTCTATGCTTGCCACTATGCTTTATCTCCAAGCCTTACAACCCTTTATAATTTATTCATTGAATCACTGCATATTAAGTCCTTATTCTCTGCAGTTTTGCTTGGTGTGGGTATTCAAAGACATATTTACTGCTCAGAATATAACAAACATTGAGCTTCTTCCTGGGTCCTCTGGTAGGAAACAACCTGTGCCCTCATGATTTCCTCCATCTGCTTCTAGTTGATAGTCAACTGCATGTCTTTTCATGCATGTCTTTCTACCACAGCATGTCTTTTTGTTGTTAATGTTTTTCATTTCATGGTAGCTGAGAATTTGGAACTAGCACTGAAAAAGCAAAGGAAGAGGTAGGTGTTGAAAGAATTACTTGCCTGAGAGTTTCATTTTTATAGCCAGATCCATCTATTGTCTTTTCTTGTGAAAAATTAAATCAGAACTCAAAGTACTTTTCCTTGTTAGTTATCATTTACTTTTGGAGCTTCCTCAAAGCTCCTACTCAGATTTTCCCTAAACTAGTGGTGCCTACTTAGAAAATTCACAGAAAGGTGCCCAATTTACATAAGATGCGTGGCCATCTCGTGCTGTTTAGTCTAATCTGACAACAACAAAAAATGATTTGTGCATCAATTTCTGACTTACCTACTACCCCTATCAAATACTGTTCTTTATTCATTAATTTCCATAGGTTAGGTCCTGGATCTTTTTGGTGCCACAGTTGCATTTTTTGTGTATCAAGCAAACTTTTTTAGTATGGATAACTCAGAAGTGAAATGGAAT